GTCAAAACAGTGTAGCCACCTATGGATAAAACTCAAAGGCCAGCTACTTATACAGCAATGCTCGCTTAAATTTCACTATTTCGAGTGCCAGTAGTGGAATATAACCGAGCAGAGAAAACAGGAGGAAGCTATTTGCTTCCAGGAATTGACTAGAGCACAGCTTGACAAAGGCAGAGAATCGATATAGTGAGCGGAAGCGGGATAGACACAGTCCGCCGAAAATCGAGGGTCGACACGCGGGACTTCAAAACGATGCCGCACGTGTCACATATAAACGTGCAAAGAAGAAAATTTCAATTGTAGCTATTTTAATTTTGCCGTATGAATCAAATGTAGTAACGATGGGTTGTTGACATTTTTCTGATTAAAATTAGTCCAAACACGATGTAAATCCGGCTAGTTTTACCGAGTTAATATAATTAACAAAATTAAAGGTTCGTTTCCTTAAAATCGATAAAACTGGTTTGATTTACATCGCGCTTGGACTTGTTTTAATTAGAACTAGAATATAGTTCATTAAAATTATTACTACAGTGAATAATGCACTCTTAAAAGTAATAATATTTTAATAATTTAATAAAATATAATGTACACCGTAAAATCACTTCCGAATAATAATAATCATATAGTATTAACGTATATAATTTATCAACAATGAATCGCATAAAGCTGATTCGCATCACCAGAAAGATCACATTCTTTAAAGCGATGTTACATAACATTTATAGCATTTATACTATCGAATATTCATTAACCTGTTAACTGTGGAATGTACTTTCGAAAATCTCAGTACAAACGCAGTTATAATACATTCTGCCGAAAAACTAAAGTAAAACGTAGAAGAATTATAGGTTTGCCTGAAAAAATTGATAATTGTACGCTGAAAGAGCTAGTGCCATTTTAAGTTTCAACACTAGAACTACCGTACCAGTCAAAATGACTGGTTTCGATTTGTTTGTTTCGCAGTTATTAATACCTTAACAGCATTGAATATTTGAAATGATTTTGGAAACAAATAGTTTCGCTTGAATACTATGATGAATATCGAAAGAAACTGGAAATAATATATTGTTACAATTTTTATAGAGATTATATATCAGTCGTATTGAATACTCGGTAATTCCAGTGATAAGATGGCACATATACTCGCTGAACGCAGTTAACTGTTTAATTACAATATTCACAGTATTTCACGGAAAAAACCAAACCGAAGTCTCCTCGAGCCAGCCCTTCAGTCGCAAGGGGAACGACACACGTCCAAAAGTCAGCTAGCGAAAACAACGTCTCACTCGTTCTCTCCGAAAAAAGAGTTGTCCGTGTCAACAGTCACGCATGTCCGCGTCCGCGGGGTCGAATCAGTCGCACAGTTATTCGCGTTAATTTAGTGGGTGCGGAGGAGCAGGTTCGCGGCCACGAGCGTAAATAGTGGACAACAAATCCACTGTGTTACAATCACACGGAATGGAATGTAGTACGCGAACACGTCTGCGGAGAGATGCACCGGTGCGGTGGTGCACGGTGCAACGCCGGGCATGAATACGTTCCGGCATGCTTTCTCGCGCCGGGAGATCGTTATCCTCCGTGTGGTAGTTTCTGGTCCTAGATGAACCTACATAAATCGAACTCGGTGCTACGAAAGTGGGGAGCGGGCCGGGGAGGGGCGTCAGGGGGCGTGGAGGGTGAGATACTCTCCGCTGGTAGCCACTTTGTAACAGTACCGGGAAACAGATGAAATTAATAGTAATAACGGGGTAATAACTGGATGCCAGTCGTGGAACGAGCGTGAGAGCAAACAGACCACGCCGACTAACAGTCCGATTGATCGTAATTAGGTATATCATACCGCACAGATTGGAAACTACTTGTTGACGAAGCGATCGCTGATTGAAAAATTTTTAACAATTCACTGCGCGATCTAACATGGAAGTAATATGTGTACTTGGGAGATGATTTGATGTTTAGTGGAATGGCACAGGCAAGAGGTGTCTTTGTATAGTTAAAACTATTGGACATCTTAGTAATTAATGATGTCCTTAGTTGCATTTAGTATAGATCTTTATTTTCGACTTCACAACCGAGGAAAGTGGACTTGGTTTACAATTGTACTCTAGACTCACTCGTTCCTTAATTTCATATATTCCATTCATTCCTTACCCTATATGTCTTAATGATAAAACTACCTGATATGTCTAATTGACATGCTTCAGAATTTTTATTTTGGAAATATTTTAATTACGAAGGCGGTTTTGCGGGAGATTTTTAATTGAATTTGTGTATATGCAGAGACACGAGACCGGGAAACCGTGCGAATTTCAAGAAACGTATTGATCTAATTTTTATAAAACATTGGAAATATTTCATTTTCATTACTTGGTAGTTTTAGCGCTAGTTTACAGTCTTATGTATTTGATGATGTACGTGTAACTGTACTAACGAATAGAAAAGTAGTGATCGAAAATAGTAAGAATTAGGAAGTAAACAGAAGATTACGTGAAAATCGAAAATATCAGGAATTAGAGGCTAAATTCAGTAGGAAATTAGTTAAGAAAGAATTAAAACTGATCGATCAGTCAAATTTCTTAGCCTAGTCATCAAGTGATTCCGTAGCAGTAGGCTGCTACGAACGTTCCGAGAATCCGCTGTCAATCAGTTGTTCGTTAATTTGATAAAGCTTCACATTTTGAAGTTTAGAAAATGCTGACATAACACAAAGGGAAACGTGTTAACATTAAATGTACCGCGAACTGTCAAAGGACCGGTAATCAAATTTGATTTAAAATCTTGCATTTTCTTCTGTTCATTTAACTTGATACCAAGTCCTATATTGTTTTTCAACTTTTCTCCCTCTTTTTAGATAAATAATAATTAATGCAAATAATTAAAGATTGTTATTCACACAAATTAAATTAAGTGCTTATACAGCCAAAACAATTTTTCCGAGGAAACAGAAACTGAAAAATCAACATTTTTTACAGAGATTGCTCTCCTAAAATAGTTGTATGTCAGTGTGACAGAAAAGATGGAAAACGTTGAGAGAAATTTGCTACGTATGAGGCTGTTGAAGATTCATTTTGGAGTTATGTTGTTGGAATTCACATTTCTGTATAAAAATTCGAAGGAAGTTCATTAAAATTCTATTTTCCTCGTGAATGGCTTAAATAAGTTGAAAATAAGGAAAAAATAGTATTTGATGCTACTAAATTATTCTTCTTGCATTTTTTTGAAAATTTATAAATACTGTAAATGCATTCAATTTTTGTAGTCCAGCTGTTATATATTATTATTCTGCAGGTTATGATTATAACAATTTTGGAATTCATTGAATAAAGTGTATTAAAACAACGGCCGTTCGTATCTTCAGTTGTTAAATGACTCTTATATGTATTATTAACCCTCGTTCAATGAGGCACTTCTCTGTTCGAAACCAGTTATACAGAAAGCCCTCAAACATGAAAACACTGGTTTAAGATCCGATGGAAGATATAATTCCGATAACATCGTGATTAAAAAAGATGCAATAACCATATGTCTCATATTCTTTTTTAAAAGGTTATCCCATGAATTCTAATTGAATTTAATCTCTTGAAAAACAATTTCTTAAAGACTTCGTACGGTATACATTATATTTTGTAAATGAATAAGAATTTAAAACAAAAATTTCAGACAAACATACTTTTAAAGATCTAATGTTCACGTATGCAATTATTATAACCCACAACTAAAATTAAATACAGTTTATACACACGCGTGCAAGTAGCCTCGAGGAAATTAAATAATTTGCTTTGAATCTTCCTCGAGAGAAAGTACACCGCCAGGTAAGTATCAGACTATCCCAAGAAATTAAATTTCACTTCGCATGATTTCATCCGCAAACTCGCGAAAGAGCTTTTATATACTTCCAGAAAAATGTGGTCGTTAAATGTGTGAATTGTTTTAATACCGATCAGAATCATATCAGTAACCGATAATTATTATTTATTATTAGTCGACATTAATGCTTTACTTACTTCAGCTCATAACAAATAATTTCGAAATACTTGATACGTATAAAAAGCTCATAATACGATCAATCCATATGTGAAGAGTAACATAATTTATACCATGTTAATTGACTCGATAAGCACTAGTTTCAAAAAATTCCGGCCAAAAAGTATTGGCATGGAAAATCTAATTTTTCAGATCTCGGTGAGTAAAGTGTTAACGCTAGAACTACCGCTTAAACTGACTTTTCACAAATTTCTGTATAAAAACCATAAGCGTGCGTTTATTAAGATTTCAATTGATTTGTATTTCAGTTTTGCTATTATTGAATAAGTTTCGTTAGTCATTTTTCATAGAAGTATCTATATCTTTTCAATAATCGTAAAAGAAAAAATTAGGAATAAGTTATTTTGACTCATCTGGTAGTTCTAGTGTTAATTAATCCTTTTCATTCGAGAGGCGAGTCAGGAACGTTATACAATTTAATATTCACCATTAAATTATGCGGCATAACGTTTCAATCCATGAAACATTAAAATAAAATACTTCCGCTCCCGAATTCAGAAATTGTTGTATTTATGTGCGATTTCTGTTGCTATTATTTGCCAGGAAATGTTATCGATATTTCATCAGAAAGTGGTGATTATTTACAGTGGAAAACCTTTCGAGTGGACTGTTCGTAGAACTGTAAAGGTTCTTAAATTTGGGTCTCTGTGACATTTGCAATTTGTACAAAATAAACTCGTTATCGTTCAACATTTAATAACCGAAACGTTCGATTGAATAAAACGCATCGCGATCAAATTTGATTGATAATCTCACGTCGGACGTGTCCGCCGATTATTTCCGAGTGATTATTGAGCGGCGTAAATGAGTCGTGACTTCGTGGAATTAATTTCAATTAATCGTTCACCAGCATGCGAGCAACTTCAGCAAATAATGTCTGATTAATTGATCAGCGGGGAACAGACTTCTCGAAATTAGCAGTGATTAATGCCCGTCGGAGAGGTACTACTTACGTTTGCAGGCCCTACGATGCGTGATCGATCTCGCTGGATCTCTGTAGTAACCTTCCCGACAATAATGACAGTGTCTTCCAGCTGTAAAATGCCAGCACTGCAGACAAACGCCTCCGCTGACACGACCCGACAGCTTGTACAGTTCCATGTTGAATATGCACTTTCTCGCGTGAAAATTGCAGTTGCATACTGAAACAGATAAACGTGTTCGGTTTAGACGGCTTATTCAGTCCATTCTTGTTTCTTTTATACTTATTTTTTTTGTTAGGTTAACTAGCAATTTTATTCGAAACTATTTACATTAATTATGGAGTGCATTCTCATAGATCTCTGTATAGAATATCGTGAATTTCGACACCAGTGAAATTGTCGTCGCATAAGGTGAAAGCACCAATTTAAGACCATTTAAGACAACTTTTCGGCGTGAATAATAATAAACGCTTGCTCCTTTATTAGAGAGAGATCCTATGTGTGAAAATGCTGTTTGAACTTCTTATATTATGTAACAAAACGAACTTTTTTGAAATAGTTATATTGTCCAAACTTTATAGACATTCTTGAAAATTCCATACTTGCGTCAAAAGTTGCCCATCTTTAAAAACGACGAAACTAGTAATCGACCACATGTTAGTTAGCAGTTGACCACTTATAGTAAAACCGAAAACACTAAAAGTGATTACTTTAATATCGTTTATTTGCAATGATCACGAGAAATTACAAGTAAAAGGCCAAATGCAAAAACTTTAATTCAAATAAAAGTACTTCGGAATTGGCTCGGTAGATGCTGCAACATATCTATTGCGCCTTTATCAAAAGATTATTATTTTCAAAAACCTTATTTTTTACGTTTTCTTGAAAAATGGTCAATCACTGATATCAAGTGAATCACTGGTGTCTTTAGCTTAGTTAATACTATTGCTATGTAGAGATGTTTCAGTAAGTATAAACAAGTAAATACAATGAATTTGTTTATTAGTTGCTACAAACGAAAATATTTAGAAGGTTAAATTCTTGTACATATTTAACACTGGCACTACTGATCATTTAATACGAGTAATATGTAATCCCTATAAAAATTTTAATAGTTTCTTTTCAGTTTCTTCATACTTTGATTATAGTATTTAATTGAAACTATTTATTTTCAAAGTCATCTCGAATATTCCATGCTTTTAAGATATCAATCATTTCGAAACAAAAAAATCGAAATCAGTCATTTTGACTGGAACGTAGTTCTAGAGTTAAGTTATGTCATTAGTTGATAATAAAGACAAATAGTTGATATTGAAACCAGAATAAATTAACTGAATAAAATACTAGAATAAATAACTTGATAAATGAAGTAATTAATAATACACAATTAAATTTAATCAATAATACATGTTCGATCCCGATAAAGTAGTTCTAGTGTTAAAGGTTAACACGTCGACTGTTGTGACAGTGACTGATGACCGGCGTTTTTAGACTGCTAGAAAAGAATTGCAATATGTAAGATGACTAATGTGAATTACAAACATTTAATGCGTAAGTACTAGATAATAGTGTAACGTAAGAATCATTATAATTCTACCTATTTATCTGTACTATGGAAAAATAAGTGATATATAAAACTAATTACTAGTTTTATTAAATTTCTATTATTATAAAAAACATTGAAATCCTAGATATTTTTGTATAATATTTTTCGTTTTTTCAACGTGAAAATAGATATTTCAGACTTATGAATACTTTTTTATTCTTCTGTAGATTTTGGGAATTCCGATACAAAAAACATTGTGTGCAACGAAAATTTTAATATTTTTTATTTCTGTAATAAATGTCCCTGAAATATGTTGTGAATTAATTTCCTGTTATTACATTGTATCATTGTATTGTATTTTCCGGTAACATATATATTCAATTTAACAACTGAAATGGACTGATGTGTAAATACATTGAATACTAATAGGAAATGATGTAGGTAACTGATAAAGATCAACGGGACAGTGGTTCTCTATATTTTTAAAATTTTCCAAGTGGCACTTTTTTTTCTTATTCCAGTTCCCTTGCGTTGTATGTTAACAATTCTCTGTTATCTAGGCTAGGTGGATACTATAGTCATCCCTTAAATGAAATCAATAACATCGGACACGTTTTGCTTTGTGGAACATAGATGGTTCTTTTTCCCTTGAGGTAATAACGTTCGCAGTAAAAACGGTCAAGGTACTAAGGAACCAAACGAAATATACAGATTTTAGATATTTTTTAAATAAAACGGTTTCCATTTTTATGCATTTAACGTTCGATTTACGGAACGTGTCAATTTGACGCATGTTGAATTTTATAAATATCGTTTGGTAAATGTTTACGTCGATTTTGATTGGCGCAATTGCACGAATCTGTATCCTACTCGTTTATTTTTGGACCCCTATTTTTCAAGATCTAAACAAATAGATATCCACTTCGCTAAAAACAACAAAATAAACTATACAATAAATATCTGCAAATCTAGAGTGAACTCATGTTTTGAAATAGGTAATTCATTTATTTTTTAAATCTATAATTTTTAGGATCTGAAGAAACATCAGCTTTTCTAGTAACAATAGAATAAATTGTACAATAAATGTACCTATATTTAGTGTTAAACGAGTATACATTAATGATAGGAATATAATTATATAATTTTCACTCAATGGAATTTTATTTTTCCTCAATAGAAAGAATCCTAACGTAATGACAAACGTTCCAAGTGCATTAAAAATGTGATGAAACGAAGTGTTTTCTTAAATAAATTTTATTTAAATGTTGTAACCGGATGATTATTTAATAAATTATATTAAAAGAAACAAATATTTCGAAACAGATAAATTTCATTTTAACCAATTCTGAGAGACATAAAGACAATAGTAAACAAAACAAAAATGTATGTAAATGATATTTATAAAATGTATGTAGTGAAAATAAATGTTCCTTGATCAATACCACGTCTTTCAACTGAAATTGTTTTTCAAATTCAGATGATTATCTAATTATCATTTTTCTCTATAAAGAACACAATGTAAGGTGAAAAATCTACAATATAAAAAGTGTAAACATTTATAAAAGTTTAATTTAATGTGTTTTTCTATTCATTCTTCAATGTTCGTATTAATAGTTTCATCTTAGTAAATATTAAACAGGAATATATTCGGTTTTGAAATTGATCATACATATTGCAAAGATTAAGTAAACATTTTCTGTACAGTACGTATTCCACTGTACTGTACAGTACCCTCGCTATAAGCGTAGGAAGGTGGATAGATATGTGTAACGACTTCATAGTCAGTTGGTCGTTGGTTGTCACAATACACGAGTATGTTACTCCGCAAATGTTTATGCAAATTCCGATTTTTACGAACAAATTTCAAGAAAGTAAAACCATGTAGCATTTCATATCCCGCAGTGACAGTTTCGATGCGTGGAAAGGAGCATAAAACTGCATTACATTCTACTGATCTTTATGTTTTATTGTCTCGAAAACTTTATGAACTGCAAAAACGGTCAAAAATAAAACGATACGTACAACGGACCTGTGGTTTACATGTGATCATGGCATCAAGACCGAGTTCAACACACAAAAACAGCAGAAGACGTTCGGTTGCCATTCTTATATTCAACTCCTTGTTTTACGATTTCTTTTACAATTGCATAAGATATTAGAGGCTAGAAAAAAGAATCCATATTCACCCTATTTTTCTTGAAAAAGTAATATTTAATTAATACTGAAATATATCGAATAGTTAAATTCTGCTTCTTTGTCACAAGAAAATGCCACAAGTAAAGTCTTCGGCACTATATTATTATATAAGAAGTTAAATAGATATTATTTCAGTTATCACGAATTCTAATTATAATTAGTAATAATATTTTGAACAAATTATTACCAATTAATTTTTTAATCTTCTTATATAAAGTTTACTTAAATTTCACATTAAGATTCCAAAAATCTTCGTTCTATCATCATTTAACCCTTTGTTCTATAATATCGTGTCAGACTCGTGGCAAAAACTTTAAACTGAATTTCACGAAACTCAATACCATACAAGCATAAAACTCATTTTTTTCGAAAACGAACAACGATTGTTAAAAAAGCCGCGGGGGTTTTACATTTTCAGATATGTACTACAAGATGCATAGGGTTTCATTTAAAAGCAGATTTCTATGTCTGACCCTCTGCTCGTAAGAAAAATTTATCGTTTAAATCGTTTAACATTACTTTATAACCAGTTGTTTGGCCGGTTACGGTAGAAATAGGTATATAAAACGCCGGTACGTTTGGTGTGAAATTTTTCCTCGAAGAGAGTGAAATAAGCTTCATTCTGACGGATTCTGACATGGGAAAATTAAGTAGCAACGTCGAGGGGTTTAATATTACCAGAATTCGACAGGCCCAAGGAACAGCGGAGAGAAAACAGCGAAAAAGGGAGGAAACCTTTCGCGTATTTATCGCGATAACAAGTATCGGGCTGGTTGGTCTGGGAAGTAGACAACGGCGACACGTGTCACCATTCAAGGAAACGATGACAGTTTACCCGCGGCGGCCTCCTCGTTTCCGCTTTTGCCCGGTTCCTCCTTTTCCCTAGATTGCCCCGTGTCTCGTATCGAACGCGGCCGTCCATTGAATTTCTCGAGAACCGAAGAAGTATCTCGAGAAGAATCCGTGCCGTAACTTCCTCTACTCGAGCACGATGCACCGTCGTTCTTTCTTCGTGACTTCTTGAAAATGACGGAATAATTGAAAGGGCAGCCGTGCGGACGGAACGGGGCGAAAGGGAAAAAAAGAGCTTCGGGGGAGGGCTAGGAGGGCGGCGGGAGGGTGGCAATCAGTAAGGAAGTTGCAATTTTAACGACCCTTCTCGGTCTCCGCTCGTATACAATCACTCGACCCAATAATCCGTGTGTCGAACCGAGTCGAGCGTGCTTTATTTTCCGCTTTCGCTGATACACTCGTGCCCCCGGCTCGTCGTCGCGACTCGCGATGATTCGAATTGTCGAATTAGGAGGAAGGAATTGTGACATTGTTCGTTTAATTGTTTATTTCGGTGGGTAGGTGACCTTCAATGCGGGAAAAGAACCAGTAAAGAATCTACAAAGTTTTTGTGACTTAATGGACGTTAATGGTTGAAATCAATGTTCGGCATTATTTGAATGAAACTTTATTTAAATGACAAATG